ATCATCAATTTTTGTCAAAGCAATTATCAAGTAAGTTTGGGGTTCATTTATACGATAATGCCAAGGATGTTGAATTAAGGGTAATTAATTTATAAAATAATTTCCTCAATAATATATAAAATAAAAATACATAAAAAATACTCCCTTGTAAGCATTCAAAAAAAGCGTATATCTTAATATAATATGCTGCATCTATTCACCACCCGGGCGACAATATATTTATTCTGTGGGCATGATTGATTTAATTTTGGTAGGTTGAGCAGAAATCAATTTTATGCATATTCTACCATTTCAAACAAGGAACGCACTCTTGTCAAACCCCTATTCCGACGTTGAGCGTCCTTTGCGTCCGCGAACTCGTGTTTCTAGGAAAAGGGCAAAACGGGGTATATAGAGATTTGCGCAGTGGTGCGCACATCACCAACTAATTTTTAGAGAGAACATGCAGCGGAGTGTGTAAACAACGACTGAGGCTTTGGGGTGGGTAGGTTCTCTTTTAAATGAAGAAGTCGTTTTTTTACATTTTCGGACCTTAAGGACAGCGTCGGAATAAGGGTTTGACAAGAGAGCCTACCTTCAAACAATTATTAATGTTATAACAATCAGAGATTAAACGGTGGAGAGCGAAATTAAATTATAGTTTAATATGCAGAATAAATAATTAACTCGGTAGAATTGCATCAGCTGGTTTGAATTCGGCAAATTAAGTAGCAAAATAATTACCGAAAATAACAAATTTTCTTTAAGATACTTTTTTATTTGCGATTCTTTTGAGGTCAAAATTGTTTTGTAGTTAATAAGGCTGGTTTGCTGCTCTAAAAGAACGTCTTTTTGATGGTGCAGAGTGTGAGTTAATTGACATATAAGCAAATAAAGATGGTGGGCGAGATTGAGTGACGGGCGAAATTATATAAAGTTACCCTACTTTGTAAGTAAGTAAAATGTGAGTTATATTATTTACTTTCTTAAAGAACAGTCATTTCATGTTGATTAAATAAATTTTGCGATAGGCAGCGCATTCAGATCCATTGCCTGTTTGAGGGCACTTCTAAGTAATACTTCAGGTAATACTCTGGTGTATGTGGGCAGTGTTTGTGGTGGGGCATCCGGAAAGAATTTTTTTTCACGGATATCATAAAGGGTAGTTCTATTATAACAAGGGGCAAATATAGTCAACATTTGGGTATACCAGTAGTGTAGAGACGGGTTCCCTGCCGCATAAATGCTAATAGGGGCTGCTAAAAAATTATTGATTTTTTTTTTAAAGGTAATTCATCCAGTTTTTTTCTTTGTGTTTCTCTTTTCAATCAATTACTTTGTTATGGCAATATGACACAATATAACATTTTTTTGTACCCGCTTGGACATCAATTGCTAAAACTGTTTTCGAAAAATTATAAATCATTAAAACTATCTGATATAATTTCTATGATTAAAGGTTTATCACATATAATCTTTTATTTATCACATATAATCTTTTATTTATCACATATAATCTTTTATTTATCACATATAATCTTTTATTTATCACATATAATTTTTTATTTATCACATATAATCTTTTATTTATCACATATAATCTTTTATTTATCACATATAATCTTTTATTTATCACATATAATCTTTTATTTATCACATATAATCTTTTATTTATCACATATAATCTTTTATTTATCACATATAATCTTTTATTTATCACATATAATCTTTTATTTATCACATATAATCTTTTATTTATCACATATAATCTTTTATTTATCACATATAATCTTTTATTTATCACATATAATCTTTTATTGCGTTTTATCATATATAATCTATTTGAAAAAAGGATGGTTAGGAAAAACTAGTCAATCTTCTACTATAGGTTGTGGGAATCCTAATAACCACCTTATTGTTGCGTTGGTGTTCAACCTGCACAAGAATAATTAGAAAATATAACATTTTATTCAATTAAAGTATTGCTTTAGAATCGACTTGTAATTTTTTTTCAAACGTTAGTTTGACTTTACAAGTTGTTTTTCGGCTATCGATTGTCCCGGAACCTTGCGAGTGATTTTTCACTACCTTCCAGACTAGCTAGAACTCTGAAACTTCCAGCATTTGTGTATATTTAATAAACATACATGTTAAAATTGTTTTCAGAGCGAACTGGAGAACTCCACTTTTTTTTTAGATTTTACTTTATCTTTCAGACTTTATTTTGATTTCACTTTATCATGACAGCATTTGTTCCTAATGAACATGCATGTTAAAATTGTTTCCTGGTTAAGGGGGGTTGTACACCAATTTTTTTCTCTAATCTTTTGTTTTTCTGTTGAGGTTATTTTCTCTGATATTTTGTTTTTTAGTTGAGGTTTATAACTTTTTAGAAAGAAAAATTTTTTGTAAAAAAGCTTTGAAAAGGCATTTTTTTTGATTTATTTGTTTTAAGTATTAATTTTTTTTTCGGGAGAAAATAGGTTATTGGCCCTGATAAAAATTTACCGTAAAAAAGCGGCTATATTTGTAGCTATGCTGCTGCTTTTCGCTTCAGATGTAATAATTCAACTTTTATTATTATTACTGCTGCTTTTCATACAGATGTAATAATTCAGGGTGGTTGTTTTCAGGGCCGTCTCGATGAGGTCTTTCATGGGGAGGGAGGGTTAGGGTGTTGTATGTGTTTTTTGCCAACAAGTGATACAAAAAAAAAAAGGTCTTTGATATTTAACATTTGTCAACTATACTTCCATCTTGCCAACTGAAATGCTATATGTACAAATGTGCCAACTCAAATGCATGTATAACAGCTTTGGGGGTAGGGTAGCAGAACAACCCAACACCCCCGTTCGGGACGGTCCTCATCGGCCCTTGTCCTAACAACCATTCTAACAGAATTGAAAGTTAATTTTTTTAAACTTATTTATTTATATTAATAATATTAATAGCTATATAAAAATATTAATAGCTTTATAATAATATTAATAGCTTTTCATAAAACTGTTTTCTAGAATGAACTAATTTCTTTTTTTTTAATTTGCACTTTTCCCGATAAAAAAAATTTACAGTCGTAACTTATGAAAAAATAATTACATGACCGGGGCTAGAAGAAAACAATTTTAGTCTTATCATTAAGCCCCAAAAAATGCGCCATTACTAGACAAAATATAGTTCAACAATAAAATATAGTTTCAATGTATATATCTCTGATTTATATTATAAAAGAAAATGTAAAATTTTATAGTTTTTCAAAGAATAAGATTAAAGAATTGTTTTGTAAAATAAAAGAAACAAAATTTAATGAAATATTAAAATGACGAAAATAACATTTAAGAATTGGTTTGAAAAATAAGAAAATATGATTTTATATAAAAAACATTTTATTGTTAGAGCAGTTTATAGTTAAATTTATTTAATTCTATTTACAATACTTCTCATTGCCAATTAAGTAAAAGCATATAAACATTAAAAAATAAAAGTAAAAGATTAATAAATAACGCAAAAATAAAAATAAAAATTCTCAAAAAAAAGATTATCATTTAAAATAATAAAAAATTATTTACATATGCTGATTAATTATTTAATAATAATCTAAAGTAATTAATTAACTATTAAATATTGATTTCTAATTTAAAGAAGTTTTATAAGAAAAAATTTAATTCATTTTAAGTTAACAAAAGTAATTACTTACGTTTTGTTTTGAATTGGTTAAGAGAGTAATTAGTTTTCAGTTCATTATTTAATATTATGTTCCACAACTTTGGTCCTCGGTTTACAGAGAATTTAGTCGCGGAATAATAAGTTTTGGATTGAATGTAGTTGTATTTTGAAAATCTAGTAGGGTATATGTGTTTTATTTTTTTCAAAAGTTTGAATGAAATAAGATTGGTAATATATTTTTATTAAGTTTGAACATGAAAATAAGGACATGATAGAGGTTTAGTTTATATACATTTAGGATAATGAGTTCATTAAACAGTGCTTGGGTGTGTGAGAAACGATCTACGTTTGAAACTCTCCTTATAGCCTGTTTTTGTTTGCTAAGCAATTTTTTTATTTTCGTTGCGTTAGTGCTACACCAAGCAATGTTCGCATAACTTAAGTAGCAATGAATAAAAGAAAAGTGAATGTTTTTTAAACAAGATCGGTTTAATAAATGCTTAGCTTTGTACATTATACTTAAATTTTTTTATATTTTATCTTCAACTACACCTATATCCCAGATAGCATGAACACGTTGGCCCGACGTCGGGCCAACGTGTTTTATATCAGCTAGAAAAGTTACGTCGGCATAACGTAGGAAATGCAATGTTAATTTTTAAACTACTGAACAGTTATTGCACCGTTTTTTAAATTAATCAGCTTAATATTTATCCAATTGCTTTTAGTTTAATTTTTATTTTACTTTTATTTTTATTTTTTTGTTGCAAAAACTTACTTCTATACTTAATAAATAATGTACACAGTTAAAATATTTAAACATAGTATTTATGGCTAGAGTAAATAGTTGGTAAAAAAAATGCTACTTATGGTCTGCATTTTTAGTCAAAACAGTAAAAGAAAAATTCTTGGCAAAGTTTTGATCAAAATACTTAATTTATTACTTTTTTTTTACGTTTACATATACTCCTTTGCAGTTGATTTTTGTTTACGTTTTTTTACTTTTAAAAAAAAAATTTTTTTTTTACTTTTAAGCATTTATAAATATTTATATAAATATAATAATATAATATAATAAATATAAATATAAATATAAAAAATGGAAGTGAACTTTTTTTTTTTATTAGTTTTACGTTTTTACGTTGTTGTTGTTGTTGTTTTTTTTATTACATTTTTTAATTAAGTTTAAGCATTGTAAGTATCAAATATGGAAGTGAACCACACTCAATAATTTTGCTTGCAATTGTTAAAATTCTTTTACTTGCTTTACAAAACAGTTATTTATAATTTTATAGGTCTTTTTCTTTTTTAATGACGCTATGGTAATTTAATTTAATATATATATATATCGCGTAGTTTTGAAAACAAACTGTTTGTTACGAAAGTTAGTAATAGAAGTATTAATATATTCAAGCAGTATGTATCACGAGAATTAGTGGTTTTAATAGCATTGAAACAGTTTGCATCGCGAGAAGAAATGGTTTTGATATCATTGAAACAGCTTATATCACGCGAAGAAGTGGACAAAAGATTTATTTTAGTTAAAATAGTCAACACAAACAAATCGTAAGTTTCTTGAAATGTTTTTTATACAATTTCTTTTACAGACGTGAGGCAGACGTAGTTTTTTGGAGTTTCTTTCTAGAAACATATATAGACGTACATAGTTTTTGAAAGAAAAGCAATCTTGATTTTTTAAAGACTTCTAAGTATGGTTTTTTACGGGATATTTTGCTCCTGAATATTAGGTTGATGTTCTCTTATGAATTTGTGGTCGAAGAAATGTAGAGTCCGCTTTTATTTATTTTTTTATTTTTATTATTTAGATTGTTTCATGCATTTTCTATGCACATGCCAAATTTCAATGAAAAATAATAATAAGCAATTAGTTTAATTAGTGTTATACCAAGTATACCACTTTTTTCAGGTAGCCCTTGGCAAACGGTTTTTTGAGAAGGTTCTTTTTAAAAACATATATAAACCTTGACATCTTTTGAAAAGAAGAAAGGTTAGGCTTTATTTTTATGTAACTATTGTGTATTGCTACCATACTTTTTTATGGAATATTTTGCTGAGAGTTTTGCATAAAAATTTGTTTGATGTTGTCACATGGATTTGTAGTTAAAGAAATGTAGAGTCCGTTTTTTTTAGTATTGAAATTGCTTGCTTCATGCATTTTCTATGAATTTGCCAAATTTTAACGAAAAATAATTATAAGCAATTAGTCTAATTAGTGTTGGACTTTAGGTACCTAACTTCGGTCTTTCTGTTTTTTTTTTTTTTTTGTTAAGCGAAATCCGGGTGGGGCCGAAATTCGGATAAAGGGACGATGTTTAATAAAAATTTTATTAAACATTGTTTTTACAAATTAAATATATATATATATATATATATATATATATATATATATATATATATATATATATTTTATATTTATGAAATTGGTAAATGTTGTTCAAAGTAAATTTATTTATTTAGGTTAGTTATCTTGGTGTCATTGGTGGTGTCAAAGGAATTGCTAAAGTCTGTAGATTGCAACGCATAATTTGAAGACTCCGAGTGGTTGAAAAAAATGGAGAAGACGAGCTTCGGCAAAAACAGCAACATTTGTTTTTCACGGTATGCATTCATTATTTATTTTTAATCAAAAAAATTTGGTTCAAACCTTTTTTTTTAACATTATCTTTAATATGAACACAACATGTGTTGGGAGTTTGGGATCCCTTTAAAGATATAACAAGGAGAGTATTAACAGCTTTGATAACTAATGTTTTAGTGAATTCAATTTCATGGAACATGGGGAAAACATGCCTTTTCAGTCCTTATGATGAGAAAAACTGTCAATGGCAATTATGAAACTTTTTTTTACATTTTTTATGCAATTTTAAGAAATGCCTGTTTTATATTGATTATTTTTTCGCCATAACTATCGAAAATTGATTTAATCAATTTTCGATAGTTATGGCGAAAAACTATACTTGTTAAATTTAGCAAGGCACTTAATGAAATTCATATATAATTTTAAATTTTCTTTTGTTTCATTAGATGCAGTTCGACTCAATCCATTGACAAAAAAAACTACAGCTGCTGAAGTAAAAGACGTAGGGTGGAATGCAAGAAGCAAACTTGAGTCAAGTTCGACCTGAACTTTACTTTGTAACCAATAGCGGCAGAGTATTTTTTGAGGGGACAACCCATACTCTGTTGCTATTGGTTGCAATATAAAAGTTCAAGTCGAGCTTGACTCAAGTTCGCTTCTTGCATTCCACCCGTAGTGAAGGAATGGCTTTAAAACGCAAAAGATAGTAGCGAAGGTCGCGCAAAGCGGGGAAGATTAGAGTTGAACGATGAAGTTGCAAATAATATAGAAGACGAATAAAAAAAATTTGCCACAATTGCAATAATGCAAAAAAATATTATCTTGGCTATATGAATATTTTTTTAATTTTATTTTTTAATAGTGTTTAATATATATATATATATATATATATATATATATATATATATATATATATATATATATATATATATATATATATATATATATATATATATATATATGCATATATATGCACAATATTTTTTATCATTTTTTTCTGAAGTTACTACTTTTTCCGGAACAATGTTAGGTAATTTTTATTAGAATACTATTATATTAAATTTAAATTTTGAATAGTAACAAATTGATTTATATGTTGATTTTGTAATAAATCTTCACTAAGTTTCACTTTAGATTAAATAAGTTGATATTTAGATTTAATAAATCTTAGTAAAGAGTAGTTGAAATCTTATGACTTACTGTTTCAAACTGTGATAATACTTCATGGGCATGTGAGAAAATATAAATTTTTGAAAGATTTTGCATTAAAGTTTTATTTCCAGACTAATAATAATTCGCTTTTTAGAGGAAGTATATTCTGATTAAGAACAATGCTTCATTAAACAATGAAGATGCATAAAGATGAAAAATGTCCTGCGATGCAGAAACGCCCTAGTTATAACTAATAACATTAAATCTACTGTATAATTTGCGAACTGTATACCGACATGCTTCGAAAGTTGGTGAAATATTTGCTGTTAACTATTTTTTATATTTTTATTATTTAATAATTATTCAAATTGTATAAAAAATAGTTAAGATAGTAATAGAAAAGCAAATAATTATTTCGTCGTTTTATTATGTATTTTTCCCATTCTATTTTATAATCGCTATAAATAATAGTTGCTTTTGTAATTTCATTTATTGATCAAAATTAAAGCGGGCTAATGTCCTTTTACTGATCTCAGCCCGACGTCATTTTACTGATATCGGCCCAACGTCGTTTTACTTATATCGGCCCGACGACATCGGGCCTACATCATTCTGATGAGCAAAAACTATGTCGGCCTAACGTAGTTAAACTACCATCAACCGCTGTAAAAGCCTACGTTGTGCCGACGTCGGGCCAACGTGTATATGTTATCTGGGATGTTCCCAGATAACATATACAAATATTAGAAAATTTATTTAAATCGTTTATATAAACGAGAAATAGAAATGGTCCTAAAATTGATCCTTATAGAATACCACATTTAATTGTCTCATAATTAGTCTTTTCTTCATCATATACAATATACTGCTTCCTATTAGTCAAATAACTCTCGAACCAGGACAAGTTAGTATTTTTTTTTTACCATAACCTTTGAATTTCGATAGAAGGATTTGATGATTGACTGTACCGAAGGACTGTATTTCAACTAGTCTATTCCAGGCAACAATTATTCCAGTTAGTCATTTCCAGAAAGAATTTTTATTTTGGTTAGATTGGTTAGATTGGTTTTATTTTGGTTAGATTTTTTAACAAAAACCACGTTGAATAAAAGAAGAAGCCAAAATACAAAACTTAGAATAAAGTTGCAAAATAAAGAGCCATTTCCAAACAAGAACAATAAACCAGGCAGTCTTTTTAAAAAAACTTAAAAATAACTGATGTAAATAACATCGAGATTAATTAAATATAATAACATAATAATAAAATAACAATAATAATTATAATAAAAATAAAAATAACATAAAAACAATAATAACATCAAGATTAAGTTAAAAAAGTAAAAGTAATTAACTTAAAAAAAAAAATTTATAACTTTTTATAACCACAACAGCCGCTTATTTTAATTTATTTAATATAGCGAATTTAGTAGGGTGGTTCAAAAAAGTACACTTTTAAATTTAAAATTATATGGTCGATTGTGAAGAAGTGCCTTGATGTTATTTCATCATATAGATTAAATAACATCATATGAATCAACATCATACAGATGTAATAACATCATATAAATCAACATCATATAGATGAAATAACATCATATGAATCAACATCATATAGATGACATCAAGTTCTTTTGTTTTTTTCAGTAAATTTTAGTTACTTTATTTACTTTAAATTTTCAAAAATTTAAAGTAAAAAAGTTAACAAAAGTGCAAGTCAAAATATTAAAACAACTAGATTCCAATTACATATTTAAAATCAGGCCCGTAGCAAGCTTTTTGTTTTTGTTTGGTAATTTGCGATAATCGGAGTCTGTTAACAATAAAACCCCTAAAATGTTTACACCGCTTTCACGCCATTAGCGTGAGAACGACGAGTTTATAACATTTATATATACATTTTTTTTACATTTCAAGCTAAATTTAAGTTCATTAACAAGTCTCTGATGTCATGCAACAATCTCTTAGTGTTCAAAAAATATGACCATATAAATTTTTAACCAACCTATTATTTAGGGGATATATTATCTTTAATTAGGAAATAATTAAAGATAATATATCCCCTAAATATAAATAAAAAAGTTTTTCTGACAATCAAACTCTGTTCCTGATTTGAAAAATCGAAGCGAAAGTTAATTCAACTCTTTTTTCGTGAATAAGTAATCAAAAGAGGTAGTCTTCATCGTTAAAATTTGTCGAAGAATAACGAAGAAAATTAAGTTTTTAGAAGTGACTTTATTCTACAAGATCATTCGTATTTTTCAAAAAATATTATCAAACTAATTTTTTTTTCAAATTTAATTTGGTCATTGGTTATTGTTTTTTTATTTTATTGCATAATAGTGCAGGCTACTATGTATCAAAAAAAGCCTTCGTGTGCACAAACGTGTTACAAGCAAACTTTTTATTGATATCAGTATGACAAGGATTTAAAAAATGATCAAGGATTTAAAAATGAATAAAATATTGATCTTTGTATGACAAGGATTTAAAAAATAACAGGTATCATTCAATTTGCATGTTTTGCGTCACTTTATATGACGTAATAGCTCTTTTTTTTACTTTTTTGTAAATGTAAATTCAATTTGAACGGTGATAATTACTTACATAATTAACTTTTTCAAAAAAATTTATTTACTCGTGTAAGTAAAAAAAGTAAGTAAAAGTGCCATCCCTAATAGAGTGTTAAGAAAAAGATTGAAACAACCATCTCATTTGGTTAGGGTGTAAACTTTATATTATCATAAGTTTTGAATTTTGAGTTTTAAAATCTTTTGACTTAAATTTAGTGTAAAAAATAATAAAATAAAAATTAATAATTTGTTGCCCTCACATTTAGAGTAGGGAAGGTAGATGTTTTAGGGTATTTTTGTTTCTAGGCTCCCATCACCACATGTTTTAATTCTTAATCTACGTATAAGTCATTGCTTAGAAACAGCTCAGGTTGTTCGTATATTAGATAGTAGCGTAGCAAAATATTTTTGGCCAGTAGGCAGACGTGGTCCAGTTGCTTAAAAGTTGTTAGTTAAAATGATTTTTACTGGAAAAAATCAAAACTCTTTAAATACATCTTGAGGCTCCTAAACCTCGCGGTCTAGTTGCTTGAGGAACCATAAGTTTTGCTTACACTGCCCTTGCTGTAATTAGGTCAATGATAAAACTGATATTTAAATAAATAGTTCTAAATTTTACATGCCCATATAAAATACCGTAGTTCTTAAAACCAGTGCCGGATTTAGACTTGCAGGGTCAGGGGATATTTTTGAGCAGGTGAATATTTTTCTTATTAAAGTGGCAAAAAAACCTTACAAAAATTAAGCATCCTCTTAAAAATTTTGGGGCTTCTAAATCTGTGGGACATGAGGTTGTAGCCCCATAGTTCGGGGCTACTTGAAACTTTCCCTCCTAAGTTTTTAAATAATAAAACCTTTTACGAGAAAATCTGTAAAAAGAACTAACAATTATGCTAATTATGCCTTTTAAATAGTCAAATAGTCTACTCTTTCTGAGTCACTCATGGGTATATGCACCTTCTGCTCAATGCTATGTTTCAGCTTTGTCTAAATTCTAGTATTCAGACAAAGCTGAAACATGAAAAAGTATTTTATAATCTATTTAAATTTAATTTAATCAAGTTAAAAATTTTATTTAAATATTGAAAATAAAATGGTCAAAGTAAAAGACCTTGAAAAAGTGAATGAAATTTTTTTCCAAAAAAATCAAGAAAAAGGTAAAACGTTTGTTGCTAAACAGTTTATGGAATAGGGTTTACCCAGATCAACTGCTTAAGATAAAATCTCAAAATTGGAGAATGGATCTCTAAAAATAAAAGTTGTCGAATCGCTAAGGTAGCAACAAAAGAAAATATTCCAAAGATTGCTGCATTTTTTGAAAATAAGTCAGGGTGCGCTTAATAGAAAGAGCTCAAGTTTTTATCTGTAATCAAACTCAAACTTCCCAAGTATTAAAAACAATGACTAATATTCTAACTTTCAAAAAAACAAATCGTCTAGATTGTAGCCATCAACAGAAGAAAGCTATGCGTCCTAAATGTCGTAAATTGTACAAAAATTATAAAAACTTGGATTTTGTTATGGATGATGAAAGCTATTTTACCTTAAACAGTAGCACATTAGCAGGTAATGATAATTTTATGCCGCTGACCCTTCTCAATGTTCTGACGAAGTAAGATACATTTTGCGTAAAAAGTACGAGGACAAGCTCTTAGTTACTTGTTGCATCAGCCGCCATGGAATAAGCCCTTTTCATATTCATCACAGTAGGCAGTCATAAATAATCTCGTTGATAAAAATTAACATGCTCGTGTAAGTAAAAAAAAAGTAAGTAAAAGAGCCATCCCTATTAACATTAGATAATAGCGCTTAGAGAACTCTCCTAATTGGAATGTTTGGGATGTCTCACTTCTCCGCGTCCTACTTCACTCCATTCTCCCTTACCCATAGCTATGGGTACATGAAAGAAGAAAAAAAAATCAGTTGCCTAAATTTTCTATAATTGATTAGTTAATAGATAATTGAAACCACAGTGTATCCTTGTTTGGGTTGAAAGCACGTCAAATCGACTTTTAAAAATGCTAGTTGAGCTCGCGTCGATAACGTTTGCAGGTAATGCGTTCCAATTCTAAACGACTCAATTTGTAAAGAAATTGTCTTTTTCCTGGCAGGTTTTCACGACTTGCCAAGCTTCTTTATTTTTAGTGAACTATCAGTTTTTGGAAATTTGTGTAATGCTTCCGCAGCTAACTGTTTTTGATTTTGTTTTTTGTGTCCGCTCTTATACAAAAGCATTTTTTTTGTACTGGGGTGTATCCCAGTGGACATGCACGTAAAAAAGACATCTTTTAAACGTCTTTTTAACGTTCAAAAGACGTCTTTTTTAGGTCTGGTACTCACTGAGATACATATTATATAATGTTTTTATCTGTTTATTTTCTATATTATATACATGAGCTTGTTAATGGTTTTGACGATAACATCAATACAATATTTTTTAGAACCCTTGTTTGTATTATTTACTTTGAATTGTTTGTATTACTTATTAATTATAAAAATATTACCCTTCTATTATGGTTTGTTATAACCCTATAAATTGTGTTTATCGTTAAAATAAATTGGACAAATGTATTAAAATTATCACTAGATTTTTTCAAATCAAATAACAAATATAATGAGTCTCAAAAATACAATTTAACGCGTTCCACGGCTATGGTTTGTACACACTAAATAAATCAGTAATACTAAATTTAAAACTGTTAAAATAATAATAGATACCTCTTATTTTATGAATAAATGCCAAAATCATTATTTTTGCATTTGGTAATTTGTATTTTTACCAAAAAATGTCATTGATCAAAATTAACCCAAGCACCTAAAATATATTAAATTATATTACGCGATTTAAAATTGAACCTTTATAAAACCTTAGAGACTGCAGTGGTTAGAACTAGCCCGGTGGGAAATTGGCTAGCGATTAGCTAGCTATAATCGTAACGATAAAGACAGCGATTTCGCCACGAGGATCGCTAGCTTTTTTAAGTTAGCGAAAAGCTATCGATATTTGTAAAAATAAAGACTGACATTTGGATAAGAGGACAGCCAGCTTAATAAGCTAAAGACCCACTGGCTATTGTAGCTAGCGTCATATCGTAATAAAGTCGTTGTCTAAAAAAATTTGATATGTAGCTATCAACCAGCTATAGATTTGCAGATATTTTGTAGCTAGCTATAAAGCTACGATATGTAGCTAGCGACACATTGCTACAAAATCGCAATGTTTAAAGTTCGATTATCCTCATAATTATAATAGACTCAAAACTAAAAATCGAGTTTTTAAAGATGTTAAAGACATTACCCGACGGGCATTTGTTTTTAAAAGTTACGATCTAAATGTATTTTAAATGTCTTTTAAACGTCTTTTAAACATTAACGTTTAAAAGACGTTTAAAAGACATTTAAAACACATTTAGAACGTAACTTTTAAAAACAAATGCCCGTCGGGTAGGAAATAATAAAATAGGAAAAAAAAAATTGCTAGAAAATCGCTATAAAGCTAGCTTGTCGCTCGGTAGTTGCTAGCTCATTTCCCACCGGGACTTCGTCTAATTTGATTATAAATCGACTAGTCGAAATTAATCGACTAAGAAAAAACGAATAGTCGATTTAATCGACTATAGACTTCCTACTAATCGAGTAAAAGTCAATTTAGTCGAATGAAAAACTTAAAATCCTTTTATCTTTAATCTATATTTTCATTTTATTTAACTTTTCAATCTTTTATTTTTGTTTGTTCGTTTAAAAACAAAAACATTTACTATTATAACTAGAGATGTTACGAATAGTGGTTTTGCCGAATAATCAACTAAACGCTCGCCCGAAACACCAAATAATTGGCTATCGATTATTCAGTGACACTTTTCTATTTTGAGTGTTCCAACCTGGTTCATTAAAGTGTATACCGTGGGTATACTGGCAAAAGGCAAAAGTTAAAAATTGTCAGTTTTGACTTAATGATGCAGTATTGTCAAGTTTACAACACTCTACAAACTGGCAAAATACAAGTTGAATGAAACATCTTTTAAGATGTTTAAATGTAATTTTATAACCAGAGAAAAGCTTTTCTCTGGTTATAAATTTGCACTTAACGTTAACTCATAAAACGGGTTTTTTGTTTAGGCTAAAAGCTTTTAAATTAATAAAAGTTATAAATATTTTCCTAAATAAGCACTTAACATTACGGTGTATTTAAATGTCAACACCAAATGCAATTTAATAAGATTATAAAAGTTTCACATTAGAATAACAATTAAATGATTGATTTCTCTTAACAAGTTAATTATTTTGCCAGAATTTCCACAATATGTTGTGTATATTCTGGCAAAAAACTCTACGCTGTGGGTGTTTTTCTTAATTTATGACTTGGCTGAGTAACAGCCAATGTGTAATGCACACATTATTTGTTGACTGTTACATCAATTTGATTTAACTATAGTTATGTATAAACGTAAACTCTAAAAACAGTCCGTTAAAAAAAGTAACGGATTGCGCTTTTTTTCAAATTAACGGATTAATTCGTTACCAAAAACCAGAAAATTAACGGAGTAAAATTTTACTTTTATTTTTTATTTACGGATTCTTTGAAATTTCGTTAATTCAACGGATTAAATATTCTTCTATTCGGTCAAAAAAAAATTTTCAGTATATTAAATCTTTTTGTTTTGAAAATGATAAAGTTTTGAATGCAATTTTCTCACATTTACATTTACATCGTAGATAAAGGTTGGTTGCAGTAAGTCTAGTATGCCATTTTTTAAAAAGCTTTACATTTAGTAGACAAAGCAAATGGATAAATATAATTTGAATTACGCTATGTTATTTCGAAGGTTATTTAACTTATTTTAAATTTTCGATATAAAGCTTTATACAGAAATGTTAACAATAAGGTTTATTTTATTTTAAATTAAAAGCCATTAGTATTACTAAACAATATATAATAACATATATGGTAAGTTAATACATATATTATATGGTAAGTTACTACATGTCTAAATCTAGAAAATTATGCAAGAATATATGCAATCCATATAGTCCATATTATAGAAATAAAAGTTCAACTAATCCTTTACTAGTAGTAAAGGATTAGTTGAACAATTATTTCTATAATATAGACTAAATGGATTGTTTAACTTTATATTTTAGACATATGACATGTAGTAACATACTATATTAGTTTAAATCAGTTGTAAAATTAAAAATGTTAACATCTTTGATAGGTATATTTATTTAGGTTAGTTATAGCTAAGTTTACATGGCTAGTTAATATGCTTTTATAAATTGCAATTTTTATTAATTTCCAAATTAAACATGTGGCATCCAATATCATAAGCTAAGATTATACTGGTGTGTTTATATTATTTTAGAATTTTTTGTTTTAGACATATGGCATTTGTTATCCCACTGTAAGTTAAAACTAGTTGTAAAATTAAAAAATTTATATTATTATAAAAGAAGTTAAATTTATATTTAACTTCTTTTTCTATTAACATTCATGTTTATTTATTTATACTATCTTAGAATTTGCTGCTTTAGAGGCATGGCATTTAGTGTCACATTGTAAGTTTAAATTGGTTGTAGAATTTATATTGTAACTTGCATATTTATTTAGTTAAGTTTAATCTAAGTTTATATCTGATGTGTTTGTATTATTTTAGAATTTACTGTTTTAGACATGTGGCATGTGGTATCCCACTGTAAGTTTGAATTAGTATATTTAAAAAAAAATTTTAACTTGCGTTTCTTTTGACGTTCATGTTTATATAATTAGATTACAACTAAGTTTGTGTATGGCTTGTTTATATTATTTCAGAATTTGCTATTTTAAATACTTGGTATAAGCTGTCATACTGTATGTTTAAATTGGTTGTAAAATTTATATTGTAACTTGCATTTCTATTGGCGTGCATATTTATTTAGTTGAGTTGCAACTATTAATAATAATAATAATAATAATAATAATAAGTTTATATCTGGCGTGTTTATATTATTTTAAAATTTACTGTTTTAGACACGTGGCATGTGGTATCCCACTGTAAGTTTGAATTAGTAAATTTAAAAAAATTGTATTTTAACTTGCATTTCTTTTGGCATGCATATTTTTTTAGTTTAGTTAAGACTAAGTTTATATCACACTTTTTTAACTATTACTCTACTATATTCTATATTCAATGTTATTTTAGAATTAGCTATTTTAAACATGTGACAAGTGGTATGACACTGTAAGTTTAAATAAGTTGTAACTATGTAAAAAAATTAATTTTTTTACATAGTTACTTGCGTTTTTTTTGGTCTGCATATTTAATCTTGTTTTGATTTATCATAGTTTATAAAAGGTTAGAGACTTTATTTTTTGCTCCTGATAGGTATTGATGTATGTGAAATGTGTAGAGTCTTTCAGTTATCAGATAATGACAAGGTAATTTTATACTTTTTTTTAATTTACATTTTAATAAAGATATAATTTACTTGTTCCATTTAACTTTATCTTTAAAAAACGATATCAGAGATAATTAAAATAACAAAATTTAGAATAGAAATTTATATATAATGAATTACCAAAAACATTTTCTATAGTGCTATCAGTAACATTTTATTTTGGTTTATACTAGGTATGTTATTAAGTTTCCATATTTTCCTTATTTTATTTTATATTAATCTTTAAGGAGTTTACAGCATGGTGTCCGATTTAAAGTGCGAACCTGTGTACGAGTAACAACAGTATTCAAAACCAAAACCTATTTAAACCAACCAAACCAAAACTAGCGACCAAAATCTATCTTGGCATTGGTTTATTTTAAACACCTATTATATATATGTGTGTGTTTTATATAAATGTACTAGCTTGAGTATAGTGTATTAAATAAATTTTTTTAAATATTTTTATTGTAATTTAAAGTATATTAGATTAAATATTATAAAAATTTATTATATTTCAATTTTTGGTTAAAACGTTTTAATGTAGAATATCGAAATAAAATAATGCAATTAAATAAAAATGCAAACATTTACAAATATAAGGATTATATGGTTATGAAGTCACAATTCTGGCCTCTCTAATTTTAGATTTTTAGTGATTTTAACGAAATAAATAATAAAATAACTTATTATCACATTTATTTTATAGGAATAACAACCGAGGAAAATTTGCTGCCTAGTGTAATAACTCCTTGATTTTAACGAATTATTCGTTGCACTAACGAAATAAATCCGTAAATTCAACGGACTATTCCTAACGGATTTCAATTCGTTAAAATTTTAATTCGTTAACTTAACGGATTTTCCGTTAGTGCAATAGCGACAAACACAATTCGTTGTATATAACGGATTTTTTCTTAGAGTGTATCATACTCTTCAAATAACTCAAAAAGATTTTAAAATCAGCTCAGGTATTTGCATTTCACTGGTAATTTCAGAAGTTGATATTGATAGATCTTAACAACAACCTGAACTTAAAACATCGTTTAACTTTAATGGGAATGTCAATTATCAATTGCAATAAAACGATGTCAATTATCAATTGAATAAAAGCTGCTTGACACCGATGAACCATCACCGGTGACTAGTAGCATCGGTGATAATTAAGCTCTACTTCGTAAAAAAAATGTAAATGAGGAGCACCTTAATAACTACATAAAAAAGAAAAACTATTACACCTAATTAAATAATCGGTTATGCGTTTTATTAGTTTTTTTTTTTCTTTTTTATACTCGATGCTTTTGATTTTTATAAATATTTTCATACAGGGCCCCTTCAAGTTTGCTCGAGGCCTTGGGGGAAAATTAAGATATGAAGTTCCAAAATCAAAATGTTTTCTATATAATTGGATTGTAAATATGATTGTAAAGACTTCGATATATAGCAAGTATTTAAGGCAGTCCCTAAATTATTGAGGTCTGGGAATAAAATGTCCATTTGTCGGTGCAGCCGTTCTCTCATTTTCTTTTATTCCTTTAAGATTTAAATGATATGATGCTAAAAAATAGAAAGCAAAAATAATTTACATTATTATTTTTATGACAAGCTATTTCAAAAAAATAAATTATTACCATATTTTGACTAAATTGACTTTTAGTCGATTTAGTCGATTTTTAAAATGATTAAGTCGATAGTCGAATTAAAAACTAGTTAGAATGCTTGCTTTCGAAGCAAGAGGTTTAAAGCGAACGCTTACTTTAGAAGCATTCAGGGTTTGAAGCGTTCTTTGAGCATATTTTGCGCCATCGGTAAGGAAGGAGACGTGAACTTCCTAATCAAATGCTTTTCTGCGGCACTCTGTCAGAAGACCGTTTGGTCTTCTTGGGGCACCTTAAACAAAACTAAAATGATGGTTATCAACCACAATCTTCACCGCAAACGGACGTGTTTTTAAATGCCTTACAAAAGTATGTAATTTGACACTAACAAAAAGTGTAACTCTTGCGCAATTTTAAAAAAATATTAAAGATTTATTAAAATAATCTTATGTTTGTGTTTAATGATTGAGTTTTATAATTAAAAAACAAGTTAAACACAATTAATGAAAAATAAAGTAACATAGGCCAAAAGCTGGAAATCAACGGAAGGTTGTAATAAATAAAAATAGATTTAGGGAGTATTTAATTTATGTACTTTTAACTATCACTTTAACATTGAATATACTCATTGAATAAGTTGTTGATTGTTTCTTATGACATAACTTTAAGACTCAGTTTTTATCACTCTAAGAAAAAATCCGTTATATACAACGAATTGTATCTGTCGCTATTGCACTAACGGGAAATCTGTTAAGTTAACGAAATAAAATTTTAACGAATTGAACTCCGTTAGGAATAGTTCGTTAAATTTACGGATTTATTTCGTTAGTGCAACGAATAATCCGTTAAAATTAAGGAGTTATTACACTAGGCAGCAAATTTTCCGCAGTTGTTATTCCTATGAAATAAAAGTGTGAATAATGATTATTTCGTTAAAATCACTAAAATCTAAAATTAGAGAGGCCAGAATTGTGACTTCATAACCATATAATCCTTATATTTGTTAATGTTTGCATTTTTATTTAATTGCATTATTTTATTTCGATATTCTACATTAAAATGTTTTAACCAAAAATTGAAAACTAATCAAATATTTATAATATTTAATCCAATATACTTTAAATTACAATAAAAATAGTTAAAAAAAATATTTTCAATACACTATACTCAAGCTAGTACATTTATATAAAACACACACATATATATAATAGATGTTTAAAATAAACCAATGCCAAGATATTAGTTTTTGATCGCTAGTTTTGGTTTGGTTGGTTTAAATAGGTTTTGGTTTTGAATACTGTTGTTACTCGTACACAGGTTCGCACTTTAAATCGGACACCATGCCGTCAACTCCTTAAAGATTAATATAAAATAAAATAAGGAAAATATGGAAACTTAATAAGATACCTAGTATAAAACCAAAATAAAATGTTACTGATAACACTATAGAAAATGTTTTTGGTAATTCATTATATATAAATTTCTATTCTAAATTTTGTTATTCTAATTATCTCTGATATCGTTTTCTAAAGATAAAGTTAAATGGAACAAGTAAATTATATCTTTATTAAAATGTAAATAAAAAAAAAGTATAAGATTACCTTGACATTATATCAGGAGCAAAAAATAAGGTCTCTAACTTTTTAAAAACTATGATAAATCAAAACAAGATTAAATATGCAGACCAAAAAAAACGCAAGCAACTATATAAAAAAATTAATTTCACAACTTATTTAAACTTACAGTGTCATACCACTTGTCACATGTTTAAAATAGCTAATTCTAAAATAATAGTGAATATAGAATATAGTAGAGTAATAGTTAAAAAAGTGTGATATAAACTTAGTCTAAACTAAACTAAATAAATATGCATGCCAAAAGAAATGCAAGTTAAAATACAATTTTTTTAAATCTACTAATTCAAACTTACAGTGGGATATGACAAGCCACGTGTCTAAAACAGCAAATTCTAAAATAATATAAACACGCCAGATATAAACTTATTATTATTATTATTAATAGTTGCAACTCAACTAAATAAATATGCACGCCAATAGAAATGCAAGTTACGATATAAATTTTACAACCAATTTAAACTTACAGTATGACAGATTATACCAAGTGTCTGAAATGGCAAATTCTGAAATAATGTAAACAAGCCATACACAAACTTAGTTGTAATCTAATTATTTAAGCATGAATGCCAAAAGAAATGCAAGTTAGAATATATATTTTTTTAAATTTACTAATTCAAACTTACAGTGGGATACCACATGCCACGTGTCTAAAACAGTAAATTCTAAAATAATACAAACACATCAAATATAAACTTAGATTAAACTTAACTAAATAAATATGCAAGTTACAATATAAATTCTACAACCAATTTAAACCTACAATGTGACACTAAATGCCGTGCCTCTAAAGCAGCAAATTCTAAGATAGTATAAATAACTCATATATAACCTTAGTTGTAACTCAATTAAATAAACATGAATGTTAAAAGAAATAGAAGTTCCAATATAAATTTTTTAATTTTACAACTAGTTTTAACTTACAGTGGGATAGCAAATGCCATATGTCTAAAACAAAAAATTCAAAAATAATATAAACACACCAGTATAAACTTAGTTTATGATATTGGATGCTACATGTTTAATTTGGAAATTAATAAAAATTGCAATTTATAAAAACATATTAACTAGCCCTGTAAACTTAGCTGTAACTAACTTAAATAAATATACCTATCAAGGATGTTAACATTTTTAATTTTACAACTGATTTAAACTAATATTAGGTACGTGAGTATCGCGTTTTACGGAACCGAATTTTGTGCTAAAATTCTGTTCCACGTTTTTCGTAGTCTCTTAAAAGTTAGCGTGCTTGAGTGCTTTGTGGAATAACTTTTTAGTATTCGTTATCAACATAGATTATTTTTAGAAAGAAGAATAGTTGAAGCATTAGTTCGATTGGTTTTTAATTATTCTCACTTAATTTATTAACGAGTTTATTGATGTCAAAATTTTGGTTGTACTTCTGTGGTGAATTTAATGTCCAGGATATAGTCTTTTTTTTTTTCTATCCATTTTTTTAATTAAATTTATCTATGCACCTGCCAATTTTCGTTGAAAAATATTTTGTTGCAGTCACCTTATTTCTTGCTGCACTTTTGTTACCTATTTTACATTTTACCTGATGTTGGCGCGGGAGACAGAGGGGTCTATTGATGGTTTTTATTTATATTTATTTTACATATATAGTATTCATATTAGCAATATTTGACTTATGTAATAAATTGATATTGTAAACCTAGATATTTTAGAATAAAAATATTGTTAAAAAATTTGTACATTTAAAAGAAATTACTTTAATAAAACGATTTTTAGTAAATATTAAAATAAGACTTGGATTTTATATTTGATTATCTTATCTGGCCACTATCTAAATCTTTATGTATAACTTAAATATTTCTTTCACTGTTTTAGATGCCCAAAGTTGTAGTGCAGCCGACAACATCAATTAGTTACTTTCTGCATTCAATAGCTTAGTAGTTATTAAATAGATGCTATTATAATATATGTTCCATATTTGTTCTATATATATATATATATATATATATATATATATATATATATATATATATATATATATATATATATATATATATATATATATGTATATATATATATATATATATATATATATATATATATATATATATATATATATATATATATATATATATAAATGATATTAGTTTTCTAATACAGTTCTTTATTATGCCTGTGTAGATTATTGTCTAACAATATTATTTTTTGTTAGTTGTATTTTTGTATACTTAATACTTACATTTTTTTAAGTCACTCTTTTTTTTCTGTAGACAATTTAGAACAAACAATCAGTAAGTTAAGTTTGAATTGTTTTAGTTACTATATCATTTAAAGTATTTTTATGCTGTGTTAGTATTCCTTGTTGAATAAATGTTTTGATTTAAAAATTTTTTTAAAAAGATTTAAGTTTAAGAAAAAAGATTGTCAAATGGTCAATTAATGTAGCACATAAAAACAGATTTACAAATCAACTGCATCGATGCAAAGTGAGAGATGAGATTTGCGAAAGACAAAAAATCAAGCGCCAAAAAATGGATGAAAAAGAAAAAAGAAAGTTAAAGCGTGAGCTATCCAAATTGAGTTTTAACAAAGTTATTAATTCATGAAAGCGCTCGTTCAATGACCAACTATTTGATTTAGAAGATGCCATGTCAGATAGAATTGTTCAGAAGAAACTAGAACATGAATGGTACGATCCAAAAACATGCAAAAGTGTTTTATATAGCGAAAGAGTAGAAAAAGTTAATAAAAGAAAAAATAACTTTATTTACACCATTTCTTACTGGAAAGATGATGAAACTGATATTGGAGCTGTTGACTATTGCATGAAAAAGATCCAGCTTGCTGCTGATGTTGCTTCCAGTGAGTTACAGTTTAATTAATTTAATAACACTGCAAGTGTTGTGACTTATCAAAAATATGTTGCAAGTGTTGTGACTTGCATAAATAACATTTATTTTGAAACAGGAAATTTGTTTATTAACCGAAGAAAATGGTTAGCTCGTTAACCATACTGTATGGTTCTGTTAATGTGAGAATCACGTGAAAGACAATTATATAGGTATTTGCTATACTTGGTTATAAAGATGACATGTTTTTTAACGCCAATTGACTTAATTATAGCCCCACAATAGTAGTTGTATAATTTTTTTAGTAATATATAACCAATTAAATAATAATATTAGGTTAGAGGGGGAAGGGGCATTAGTATGCCTCTTTCCCCTTTAAAACATCATCAACATATGTACTATGAGTTTTACATTCATCTTCCATATTTGATGGTTGTCTGATATGAATTTATTTTTTAATTTATTTTCAATTTCATAATTTCATTTTTAAATTTATTATTCAAATTTTGAAAACAGCAATTGTATATATTTTTTTAGGATTGGTGGGGGGGGGGGGGGGGCATACGCCCTTCTGTAATAGAAATACCACTTGTAGACGTAAGATCATGTATAACATAATTTTATTTTGTATACTAATTTTACACATTTCAGTAAAGATGTAAATATAAAACCAAGTCGTTTTTGATACTAGGATGTATCAAACCACCACCACCACACCCACCTCTATTGCTAACATACACCTCTCATATATTTTAATGGTTAAGTATAAATTTAAAACAATTTGTTTTAATATTTATATTGCTTATGTCTTTAAAAAAAACTTTTTTTCTGAAACAAGTGTTCAGTTTTGTACGGGCATGGTGGTGGTTTGGTGCCCCCTCTGTCCGTCCGAAACGCCCGGTGGTTAGAGTTTAACATAAAGTTGTAGCCCACTCTTACACTTATCTTTTGACACTAAGATATTTGTTTTTCGATAAGAATTGATAAAGTTATGACAATTTAAGTAAAAAAAAACATTATTTTGACCACAGTTTCTTCAACAAATCCTAATATCGAAAAATCGGTACTTAAACCGTCATAACTTTTGAACCAATTGTTCAATTTTGATATTTTTTTCACCTTTAAAATACTGTAATAATCTTCTTTCTAATGATATATAACATTATAGTATTCAATTTTTACTCACGTACCTACTAATATGGTAAGTTACTACATGTCATATGCCTAAAATATAAAGTTAAAAAAGTCTATATTATAGAAATAATTGTTCAACTAACCCTTTGCTACTAGTAAAGGATTAGTTGAAATTTTATTTCTATAATATAGACTATATGGATTGCATATATTCTTGCATAATTTTCTAGATTTAGACATGTAGTAACTTACCATATATGATATGTATTAACTTACCATATATGTTATTATATATCATTTAGTAATACTAATGGCTTTTAATTTAAAACAAAATAAACCTTATTGTTAAATTTTCTATATAAAGCTTTATATAGAAAATTTAAAATAATCTAAATAACCTTCGAAATTTTAAATAACAGAGCGTAATTTAAATTATATTCATTTGCTTTGTCTACTAAATTTAAAGCTTTTTAAAAAATGGCATATTACACTTACTGCAACCAACTTTTATCTACGATGTAAATATAAATGTGAGAAAAACGCATTCAAAACTTTATCCTTTTCAAAATAAAAAGCTTTTTATTTCAGTATATTATATACTGAAAATTTTTTTTTGACCGATTAGAATATTTAATCCGTTAAATTAACGAAATTTCAAAGAATCCGTAAATAGTTAATTTTACTCCGTTAATTTTCTGGTTTTTGGTAACGAATTAATCCGTTAATTTAACGAAAAAGCGCAATCCGTTACTTTTTTTAACGGACTGTTTTTAGAGTGTAGCTTGACTTACTCTTCTGAACGCACAATTTACGTTAGTCCGTAAATATAATTTTTTTTAAAACGTGTTAAGAAAAAACAATTTAAAAAAATGAAAATATTGAAAAAAAATTCATTTTTGGGACTAAAATATCGCATGCACTGAGTGTAGCGCCAATTGGATTAAAAGCCCTTTCCACCAAAACCTGTCATTAAGACCCTTCTTAAACTTTTTTCACTAAGTATTACTTAAAAAAAAAAAGCTCTTTATCTTTTTAATTTTATTTTATTTGATATTGTTGAGCCAATAAAGCATTTTAGTTTACTAAATGTAGGCGTTGCGTTGTCATCTGATTGGCTACCTACGTGTTCACGTTGGCGTCGTATGTACTCAACGCTATTGGTAATATGTTAGCCGAACTAAGTTCTACATTTAGCTTATTGCATATGATATTAGGTTATATTAGATTGGCTTTATGTTTGCGCAAAGATGTAGGTGCTATACTAGCCGAAAAAAGTGTTACAGTTTGTGTTGCTTACTAAAATAGCTACAGTAGCATAATCCATGTTTCAAACTCGTTGCGTTAGACTATCATTAGTGCAACTGATTGTTTTATTCTTCATAATCTTCATAGAAGTCTTATTGCTCTTTTTCACAAATCTCAGTAAAAAAAGTTGTCAATGACAGAGTTCTAGCTAAACAAACATTGTATTATTTTAATATATATCATTTATACGCTTAAATTTGCTTATATTAAATAATCCTACCAAATTACTCGTAGCGCTATGTTTTAGCAAACGTTTTAACTTTATGTACCAACGCTACACAAGCTACATCTGTAATCAGAATTAGGAAAATCAATGCAAAATGTGGTAGGCTCAACTGCAAATCGAATACAGTTGCGCCAATAAACGCATATTGCGGTTGGCTCATATGGAAAACCTATGCAGTTGCACCAACTACCGCAAAATCCGGTTGGCCCAACAATACTAGGAAACAAGGTGTGACCTTAATAACAAGCTTGATATTTGAAAATTGTTTTTTTCAATTTTTAATTAAAATAATTTAATATAATCCTTTTATTTGCTATAAGTTATAGCAAATGAAACATGATAAAATTATAGTATAATGTTTTTTAGTTGAATTAAAAAATATAAACCCTGATCTTAATCCTGTGTTATCCTTTTTTTATGAGATTTTTTTATGGGTTATTTCTATATTTGGAGATTTTTTATGGATTATTTCTTCATTTGGAGATTTTATCACAAAAAGCATAGCTTTTGAGTGTTTATTCAATTGTTATGTCCAATCGTTAACATGCTTTTGTGTAAAAATTTAGAATTATGACAAACAACTGTAGGGTTTATTTAGCAATTGAAAATTCCTTTCCTTCAACATATCTACCTTTTTCCAAAATTCCTTCGCTTCAACATATTTACCCTTTTCCAAAATTTTATATAATCACCTAAAAACTTTTGAATCTTGTTGACACAAAAGCTATTTCAAAAAAAATTTTGAGTTATTTATTAAATTCAATTAATTAAACTTTAAAAAATTTTCACAAATAAATCCGCCTATCGATATATATGGTAAAAAATTGTAAATGTTTTGACATTTTTAGCAGACCCTTTAATCGTTTTATAAACAGATATTAACTGTGCAGACAAAAAATAAATAAAGTTTATAAATATATTTAAAAAAACATTTTCAAAATATTAAAGCATATTTATTTTTTTATAATTACTAATCTATTTGCACCTTTTTTAAAAAAATTTCTTTAGATTTAATATAAAACTGATCTTGATTTTTTACAATCTTTGAAATTTGAAACAATAAAAACAATAAAGTTAAAACTAATTAATTTGAAACAATAAAAACAATAAAGTTAAAACGTTATAAACGAAGATTGATTTTATTTCGATTATTTTTTAATCAAAAATTTACCAATCTTTTCACTTTAACTAATTTCTTAGTTCCAGCCTATACGTCATTTACTTCTTTGCTTATTCTAAATTTAATCTAAAAACCGTTCCAAATTTTCGCATACTTCAAGTATGCGAAAATTTGGAACGGTTTTTAGATTAAATCTAGTTCCAACTTCTAAACTACTGCTATGGTTGGTCTAAGCATTTTAGCTTTTATTACTTCTAGTGTAAAATTTATATTTATTTTAGAAGTTTAGTTTAACATATCAGTTTATATTAAGTACTCTATGAGCACAGACAATCTCTATGAACACATCAACTAAGATGAACTTTAAAAAACCCACAAAGAAAACAAAACAAAATAATTTAAAGATTAGGTTGTTATAACCCTTTTAAATAAAATATTTTTTTGAACCATCCGTGCCAAATGTTACCTTTATCAACAAATTTATCAAAATAAGGATAAAGATAGAATTTTAATCTGGAAAGACGATAACGAAAACGATTCTGATTAATATATTAATGAGTCTACTTCCTAAAAGAAATACATTATTTCTTCTGCGCTCGTAATAAACATACCCCAATAAAATTTTCGCTGAAACTTTTTCTTTTTATAATTATAAATATGCTTGTAAATAGTGTTATTATGTTAATACACGTGTAACTTATGACGTTAGTAATGTGTTACAGGTGTTACTTATTAAAAAAAAACATAATATACATAAAATTAAAAGTTATTACATTTTTTTTCTTTTTTTAAATTTTCTTTACATTAAAATGTCACAGCACAATTATATATGCCATATTTATCGAGTTACAATTAAAATATGTTACAACATTCATCACCATAATTAAAATAAGAAGAAACACACACAAATATACATATATATAAATATAAGCATATATAAACATACAAATGTATAGACGCACACATACATAAATTGCTAACAGTGACACATAAGCTAGGATCTGAAAGAAGATCACAAGATTTTGTCTTCAGAACCTTATAAAACACAAACAAGCAAAAAAAAGACACGTTTAACACATTAATATTTTTGATTTGATAAAAAATAATAATAATAATAATAAAAAAAAAGGTCAAATTAATTAATAATTATATTGAGATTTAATCTGAAAATAAAATATTGCTTATTACTGAAACTTAAAAAGTTATTTTGCAAACTTTAACTTAATAATTAAACTTGATTGTAATAAAACTACGTTTAGTGAATTGTGATGTTTTTGCAAGCTAGTTTTGCTTGCTGGCTGCGTAATTTTCAAATAAATAATTAGCTTTTAAAACTTTTAATTCATTTATACTTAGGCGACTTTTGCTTTGACAAAAATGACTCTAACAAAGTAGTTAAACTTTAATTGGACTAATGAAATTTATCACATTTGTAAATGTTAAAAATTAAAAATGAAAATCTATAAAAATTAGATATTTTTTCAAAATTCAATGGACTTTTCTACATATAACTTTTATATAATTTATAATAATTTTTAAGAACTTAGTACTAATATTAGACAAAATGTTTTAAGAAACTTTGATTTCATATTATTAATACAAAAAAAATAAATAAAAACAAACAAAGAAGAAAAACGAGCGTGATATTAATAGTGATATTAAATATGTTATTTAATATCACAGTTTGGTCTGGCACATGAAAAAAACTTTTCCACCTGCATTTGATATTAGAATAGTGAACGGATGCAATATTTAGAAAATATTGTTACTGCAGCAAAAAATACTTTAGTAAATAAATAAATTTAAATATAAGTACATTTTTTTTGTATTCTGTTGTTTTTAAAATATCTGTTAAAAGGAAACTAATTAGTTACATGGCATCTCAATAAAATTCATAAAAATAATGACTTCGATTGACGTCAAATGTCTCTTTCGTGACTTACTCGTTTTTTTGTATATGGTGTGGGTGTGATGTCCCTGAATATATAAGCAGATGTCAACTGTGATTTAAACGTAGCTTGCTCAAATTAAAGTAAGCAGATGTTTCCGGGATGTTTGCTCAAAATAAGCTGTTCGGTTGATTTTCTGAATTCTCTTTAACAACCTATAAATCAAACAACAGATCTGTCGTTTGAATTTACAAACTGCAAAGTTAAACCGAAAAATCAAAATTTGAATTCAACAAAAAAAAGTCTAGGTTGATTAAACGTGCTTACCTTCAACAATCAGCTTGATCTTCTTGTTTTACCCTTATTTTAGTATACCTGATAACTAGTCTACCCATAATAAAGTAAAACCGGATGGTACCATATCTGAATGCACTTGTCTTCCTACATTAGCTTATATATTTTTTGTATTTTTTGTTTATGTATTTTTTTATTATATTTTTTGTATTAATTATTATATTATAAATTTTATTTTGAACATATTTCGCTGGGTATTAGATTTTTATTAATATTATGATTTTTATTATTTTATTTTAGTAATACAATAGTTTTAAATTTTCAGCTGATAAAAATATTAACTAAATTAAAGCTAAATTAATAAAATAATTTATTTATAAATATTTTGATTAATATGTTTCTTTATTTTATTTTAGTAATACAATAGTTTTAAATTTTCAGCTAATAAAAATATTAACTAAATTAAAGCTAAATTAATAAAAGAACTTGTTTATAAATATTTTGATTAAATTGTTTCTTAAGATCTACTGTATTAAAAAAATGGTGCCATTAAATGGTACCATTTAAAAATGGTACCATTTAAAAATGGTTCCATTTAAAAATGGTACCATTAAATAGTACCATTTAAAAATGGTACCATTTAAAAATGTTACCTCTATGACCATTAAGCTGTATCATTTAGATCATAGAATTATAGTGTTATTATGAGTAAGTTAAAAGCCATAAAGCTGTTTTACATGAAAATATAAAATATAAATATAAAAAAATAAACATGAGGTTGTTTTAACTAAGAAAAAAAATAAAATTGTTTTGAAAATTATAAAGTTGTTTTAGCTAAGAAAAATATCATAGAGAATTATAAAATGATAAACTACTAACATAATTACACTTTTAAAAAATAAAATAGATTTTTTTAAATTTCATTTTACAATAGTTTTTTTGAAATACCATTACATTCAGTAATTCACTAAAAATAGTATCACAAGAAAAAAATAGAAGCTATTTTGTTCTAAAACCAGTTGGTGATAAATTCCGTCTTCTCTGATTTTTATAAAAGATGGTTATCAATAGAAAAGTAAAATTGTTTTCAAAAACATGCGTATAAAAGAAAATATTAAAAATTACTTTAAAAACACTTTAACGTTTCTATACTATCTGTTTTTGATTTTTTGCTTTAACAAGGTAAGAATGCCTTAAAAGGTATGAAGGTACTCCAGAAATTAATTTTATTTCTCAGATATAAAAATTATTTTAATTTTTCAATTGGATTTTACAATTTAAATATAATACTTTATAAATAGATCATTAGTTTTGATTCTACTTTTTGTTTAGCTAATTCCAATCTTAATGCAACTTTTTTTTACTGAAATTTTGAAGAGATGCAAAAAAGCAAAACATCTTTATAAAAAACAAAAAAAAAAAAAAAAAAAAAAACCATAAATAAAATACTAATAGTTTTTTATTTTTTCATAAATTTTGTTGTAATTTTTTTTAGATTTAATTCTTTAGCTATGAACATAGACAAAGTAATACAGTTCACGTATTACTTTGCAATCCTCATCATATCAGTGACATTAAACACTTTTGCTTGCTATGTCGTTGTTTTCAAAGAAAAAAATAAAGATTTCTCTCAAATGTTTATTTTTAGCATTTCAGTATCTAGCTTAATACAGGCAGTATTTGAATATATTCCTCAACTTTCTCAGTCGTTTTCAAAATCTTTTGTTAAGAATAAAGCAGTTTGCCATGCGAGTGGTTTTTTGTTATGTTGGTTTGTCGTTAACAATATATCACATATGACTGTTATATCTTTAATCAGAGCAGTTGCGATAAAATTTCCTATCTTTTATTTCAACTACTTAAAATGTAATACTTTTCGAATTGTGTTGCTTTGTTACTGTTATTTATTTGGATTTATTTGGATGGTGTTACCATTAATTGGATGGTCAAAATATGAACTCGATCTTGATGAAAAACGGTGTTCTTTAGATTGGAAATTGACAAAATCAGACTCACTATCTTATATAGTATCGGTTCTTATATTTTGTTATTTTGTCCCAGGAGCATTTATATCGTTTGCATTACAACTTGGATCAAGAGCTACAGTAAAACGAAAAAGTTTTGAACATCATCGTAGGCAAAGTCAATCAAGTTTGTTAGACAGCAATCTATTTAAAATATGTTTGGTATCGGGAATTATATTTTTTTTTTTATGGACACCTTATGCCGTATTCGGTTCATTAGCTTTGCTAAAAGTGAAACTTCCAAAAGTTTTGGTTACCATAGCTGCAAAAGTTGGGGAACTTTCAACGTTGTCTAATGTTGTTGTAAACTGTTGCATAAACAAATCTTTTAAAAATCACATGTGCAAGATTCCTTTGTTTCATTGGTGTTTAACTTTTCGACCAATAAGATCGAAAGTTAATTTTGTTACTGAGTTGCGAAACTGCAAAGAACAAAAAATAACATAGTTTTTTTTTTTTAATTATATTCAATATAAATTAAACTGCTACTTGTTTAGTAGCGTTTTAGTAGTTGTTAGTAGTTGTTGATTTTATTATTGTTATTACTATTATTTTTACTATTATTATTGTTTCTTTTATATTCAAAATTTAAGAAACAAATGACTCGTAGGTTCGTATTTTCCATTAAAAACCGCCATTAACATATTTATACTCGTGTACATCAGGGGTTATCAAACTTTAAGAAAGTTCTAAACTGCTTTTGCCAAATTGTAATTTTGCATAATAAATATATTTACGTTAAAATTAAAATAAGATACTAAACTTTTTCATATTTATTTTTAATGGATTTTAATAAAATAATATTAAAAAATAAATTAATAATCAGGGGTTATCAAACTTTAAGAAAGTTGTTAACTGCTTTTGCCAAATTGTAATTTTGCATAATAAATATATTTACGTTAAAATTAAAATAAGATACTAAACTTTTTCATATTTATTTTTAATTGATTGTAATAAAATAATATTACAAAATAAATTAATATTAAAAAAAAGAAAAAGAAAAGGTTTTTCTTTCTCTTTTTTGGCAAAAATTTTGTCTAGAAAGTTGATAAAATAAATATTTTGTATACATTCTAGAATATGAATCTTCGCCAAAAACTCCTGATATGCGATTTTTTTTTAATTTATAAAAATGCTATACAACATTTTGAAATAAACTAGACTATCTGGTTTTAAATATTTTATATACTTTTATTATATTTTCAATTTAATATTTTCATTTTTAATGATTTTTAATTTAAATCGGATATTTAACTAAGCGTGATCAGTGAATAAAAAAAATCTATGAAAAGTATAGGATGTCTTGTCACAGTAGTTACCACTTATTGCATTTAAAGTCACATCCTTTTATCAATAATATTACTGTATAATCTATTTATTTTTCTAATTCAAAAACAAATTATTATCATACTATTGTACTGTTTTAAAAAATTAATCATTTATTGTAAAAGTTTATTTCTTTGCAAATTCTCCTCTTAATTTAAGAGCTACCGTTTCGATTGTTTTTTTTTTGCATAGAGTTTGCTTTGTGCTTAAGAAAAAATTATTCAATTTTTTTTTTTAAAAAACTGACACTGTTTTAGCGTTTAAATTTAGTGTTTTAACGTTTAAATTACAATAGAAAAAGTTTTTAAAATTTTCTATATGTTTTTTCACACCCATTCAAACACACACTCATTTTTGCCAAACTAAATTTTGCCAACTAAAACCTTAATAGAAAAAAAGAAAAAAGGTCCTCGTTGGGTGACATTTTCCGATTGTCAACTAAAGGCCCGTATTTGCCGGTTCCAGGGTCGAAATATGTAGAGTTTATTAGTGGGGTTAGACGCCCTCTACATCCCCCTAAAGACGGCCCGGCACACACACATGATTACAAAGAAAATTTTGCTAACAAATCTAAATATCGATTAAGATCTTAAAGCACTAATTAAAATTAAAAAAATATATATATATATTATTTTTTCAATTATACAATTTAATAAGTAATCTTTGACTACAAATGTCGCGTTTGTTATACATTTATTTAAAAAAGCAACCCCCATTGAAATAAGAAGTGAAGACGATTAAAAATTTTTTTTTTAAGTAAAGCTTTGTTTATTCTTTTGAAAATTATTTAATCATTTTGATACATTAGGCGGTTTGGTTGTAATTGGATTTACCTTCCAAATTTGTTATTCATCTAACTTACGCACTTTTGTTAAAATTGAATATTCGGAATTAAGGAAATTGTTAAGCGGCTCAAAATCATTCCTGTTGTTAAGCGGCTTAAAACCATTTAGTTTATTTGTCCATTCAAATCTATGCGTAGATTTGAATAGAGATAATATTTAAATCTACAAATAAATTTGAATATCGTACAATGGTACGATATTCAAATTTATTCGTAAAAAAAAAAAAAAAAAGGAAACAAAAGGTCTTAACAAAAATAAACTTATTTAACGACGTTTATTGAAAAAATAATGGTAATATAAAAAAGGATAAAAAAAAATAATTAAAAAAAAATAGTAAAATAATAACTCTTTAAAAATAAAAGAGTCAATCAAACCCAAAAGTTGTAGAAGTTTAATAATGGGTTCACTTAGACTAACGGGTTAACTCAGGCTAATGTCTGGTTAGACATTAGCCTGAGCCCGCTAATCGTCTAACCAGAATGATGTTTTTGCATTGACACATACGGTTCATCACTTCATCAAAAGATAAAAATGCATTTCTCAATTGGCACCAGTTTTGAAAATTTGTGTCATTATGTTTACGCTGATGACCCTCGACAATAGCATTTTATAAACGTAGATATTGGTTTTACGGATGAACTTGTGGCAAATGAAAGCCAACTTTATCATTATTTGACAACTTTTCAAAAACCATGTTCAACATCCGCATTAACAACTTGTATTACATTTTTTTCTTATTTAAAACATGTTTAACATTTTTTTTTTTTAATTAACTTGATTATGGTGTTACCTGTTTTTTTTTTTTTTTATAGTGGAGCAGGTATGAGGTGAAGTGAGACAAGGGAGTAATTAACAAAGTTAGCAAAATTTATCGATAATAAGCTATTAAAATCGTAAACCATGTAATCTTTATCAAAATGTTCGAGAGGTTTCCACAGTTACACATAAATGGGAGATTAATTAATTGTCTTTGTCCCACTTAACCCCTCAAAAAAATCATTTTTTGGAGATACTTTTCAAAAATGTTGTTTTTACCATACGTAGGATGAATCACTCTCTAAAAAACGCGATATTTACCCCAGAATTTGTCCAAAGAATTTATTGCCCAATTTTTAATATAAATATTTAATTTCCCAATATTTGCCCAAAATATTTATTGATAAAGTTGAAGTAAAAAGAGATTTTATAAATACCCCAGTGAGCACGGACGTAAAAAAGACGTTTTTTAAACGTCTTATAAGCGTTTTGGACGTCTTTTACCTATCTTTAAAGACCTTTAAACCCAATTATTAAATATATAATTAGAAATTAAAATTTTGTATATAAACCAATTTGCCAAACAAAGTTTAAAAAATTTTGCATTACGTTTCGAGTATGTCATATATCCAGAACTTTGTAGTAAAATTGTTGTACAAAATTTTGATATATCCAATACTTTTTCGATCCTTTAAACTTAAAAATTACATATTGTTTTTTCTTGGTTACATATTGTTTTAATTTATCTGTATTGCTTACACACATCATCTAGGAGATATGCAAGCAAATGATGTGTTTTATACTTCTAAAAGGTCGTCCATTAAGTACGTACGCTTTTTTATTGTCCACTTCCCCCCCCCCCTCCACCTGCATTTTGCAATACACTTTTTTGAGTACCCTCCACTTTCCTAAAAGTGCCTACACTTTTAATCTATTTATCTAAAACTTTTTGACATTTTTTTAATTAAGTGTCTGCTTTCTTTTATAATTGACCCACTGCTCTCCCATCTCATATACGCCATTTGCAGGCCGCCTCCGAGCGTAGGTACTTCATAGACGATCCATAATTAAAGTTGTTTGTCATGTGCTGTTTGATAATACAGAACTTAAAATGTACATTTAAATTCTGTATTATCAGAAATTAGGCATTTACATTTTATAACATTAAACAGTTTATCCATCTATAATGTAAATCTTTATTTTCTCTATGTTTTATCTGCTATGTTTTTTTGAGATTAAAAAAGTAGTCCAAGTTTTCATAATTTTGTCCGCTTTAGTCTTTTTACAAATGCTAATAGCAACAATAAAATTAACATTTATTTTCTTTTATGAGATTGTATTCTAAATTGTGATTTTGTAAAATGTCGCCATAATCTAAGTTAAACAATTTTTTATTTTTAGTTTAGTTTGTATATAATTTTTTTTATAAGTTATAACCATATCGTTTTTCATAATCACAAGTTTATTTTAGTGTTACAATTGTCATTACCCGGTGGGAAATCGGCTAGAAAATAGCTAGCTATAATCGTAACGATAAAGATAGCGATTTGGCCACGAGGATCGCTAGCTTTTTCATGTTAGCGAAAAGCTATCGATATTTGTAAAGATGAAACAGCAATTTGGCTACGAGGACAGCTAGCTTAATAAGCTAGACCCACTGGCTATAGTAGCTAGCGTCATATCGTAATAAAATCGCTGTCTAAAAAATTTTGATATGTAGCTATCAACCAGCTATAAATTTGTAGATATTTTGTAGCTAGCTACAAAGCTATAATCTCATAATTATAACAGATTCAACGCTAAATATTGAATTTTGAGAGACATTAGAAAAAAATAAAGTAAGAAAAATAAATTTTTTAATACGTATATATTAAACGTTTATTAAACGTCGATCAAACGTATACAATATTGACTAATATAAATCGTTATTCTAAACGCTTGATCGACGTTTATTAAACGTTTATTATATTATAATAAAGTAATATAGCCATTGGTATGAGAAGACTCTCATAACAGCTTAAGTCATGCGGTTTATATAAGCATAATTAAATCAAAATAAAAAACTTATTAAAATTTTTGTTTTTTGGGCTAAATAATTAAATTAGACTTAAATTCTATGGACTCCGATGTTTTAGAAATTATTTATGACGGCATTGACACAGTTAAAAAATACAAGTTGCTGGTCTCTCGTTATGAATGTCCTGCTGCAAGAACTTTTTTCGTAAGTTGTATAAACAGTTTAAACTCATTTTGTAAACGCTAGTATGATTGTGTAACAGTAAGGTATTCATCTTTGTAATAATCAAGAGGATTATTTATTTTTTTCATTTTAGATGCATTTTAGCTTAATTTAGTTACATTTGCAACAGAAACTTGGTGAAACCCCACTTTACATATAGTGTTGTGACGTCTTCCAAGATACTAACAAACAATTAGCGGTTATATCCTAATATTAACATTAATGTATTTGTAATGATGCGGTCTTTGTAAAGGTATTGGAAAATTATTCCAACGTAATTACAAGTATTCAAGGTTATTAAAATAATATTTTATGGTTCTGAATTTTATATAAAAAGTATGATATTTGTAAATAATATATTTGCAGTCATATGATAATAAAACAACTATAAACAAACAAGTGAATTCCCCACAATAATTTTATCAAATAAAACTATACTATAAGTAGTATAGTATAAAAGTTTATAAACATATTATAATAGTTATAAAAAATAAGGCCAGGTCTTTTATAACTTTATCTTATTTATAAATTTTAATTACTTTTCTAACTACATCTTATTTGTAAATTTCAAGAC